ACACACACACACACACACACACACACAAGCTAGTCCATTTTTTAGTTATATTTCAAGAAGAATGTACTTACACTTATATTCCGAATACTGAACGCAAAAGAAAGTTATCATAAGTGCCAATAAGATATCAAAACACTTTTGATTTTCGGATACTTATTTTCGGAAGTGACAAACTTAATTTATATCTACGCTGTTCAAAAAAGATAACTTTATTTTTCCTGGAACTATTATGAATTATACAACCTCTAATATATTTTTTTGTTGGATATAAAAACTTGAATAAATGCTTCTATGTTCAAAGTCATATTAAACTTAGTCTGAGTTTTGTTTGCTGTCGGGGAAAAAGTTTCCGAGTTAGAAAATTACAATTTGTCGTTTTACATAGAAAAAATACTAATAACAGTAGTGTGTAGGATATACTTTTTAACTTACAGAAAACCTGTGGTGGATTATTGTACATCTTGGATGATAGCAAGAATATTTCTCCCTTTATTTTTTAACATGATGATTATAATTCTTTTATCTGAAAAATGTAATACGTTTAATATGAAATAAATAGTACAAGATAGATAGCATTCTTTGCAATGATAGCGATTATGAGGTAGAAAATTTTATATTGTCAAGATATCAATAACCTATGAAACATATCTTTTATATTACTAAAGACAAGACACATAAAAACATTTGATATAACGATATTACATATTTCAAATTCAAGTGTAAAATAGAAAATCCTACACATAGGGGAAACTTGAGATGATTAGGACACTTTTTTTTAATTTTTTTCCGAGCTGTTTTTTTGCTTTTTTAAAATCTTAATTATGTATCTTCTAATTTGACCTTTTAGTAGTACACATGATTTTTTCAGCCAAATATAATAAATAGCAAATAGTATGCAAATTAAAAAAAAAACCAACAAGTGTCCCAACCTTTCTTCCTCCATGGATGGTTGGGACACGTATGAAATAGCACATGAAATTGCAATTAAACATTTTAATTAAATTCTATTACAACGTAGCTTAATTAAGTAATTTTGTTAATGGTAATGTTCCTTAACATAAAAAAGTAAATTATTGAAAATATTAACAACTTTAACTATAATTTTTTTTCTTACAGTCTTATCATGGCACTTTGTTTTCGAAAAGTCTAAATAAACATTTTCTAGCAGACTAAATAAAAACCGGAACCAATAGTTAAAATGTGATTAAAATTTTATAAAAAAAAGAAAAAGAAAAGAAAACATACAAAAAATACAGTCTCAAAAGTAGTAACGTGGAAAGATTAAAATACTAATTAAAATTATACTTAGGCAACAAAGACTACTTACCTAACGTTAAGTTTCTCAAAAAACAGTGGATAGAGAAAGGTTATAATTTGACCTTTTCTTTTTGTCCCTTTTGTTTCATCTTTAGGACATAATTTGCAAATAATGTCGCTTGCATTCACTACAGAAATATCGTCGACTGATGGGAAATGAGATAAAAAAGATTCGGGATTAGTTCGTCTCCAAAATTAAATTGTAAATTCTTCATCTAAATTTTCGGCGGCGCTGTCAGTTTTTTAAATTTTACCAATGTAACAAACGAAGATTTTGTCGCGAATTTCACGAGAACAAAATCATCTGAACGAAACTTCATAGGTCTTCCGTGGATAGGACAGGTCTTCCGTGTCCCAACCATCCCGGGGTTTAAATATCCCAACCATCTCTTAGCTGACTACATTTTGAAAACACGCTCCTAACGGAACGTGAGATTAGGTAGCTTGAGTTTAAATCATGGGAGTCTCATCATAAGGAATGAAAGTTTCGAGTAAAAAGTTATCGGCCCAGAAAAGCTCTATTATACTGATAAAATAAAGTTTTAAAAACATTTTTAATTAATAACTTTTGGAATAAAAAGAAACAAAAAACTTACCTATTCAGGTTTGAAGGAATGGAAGCCGGCTAAACCTGGTTTGAACCTTCACACAAGAGATGATAAACAACAAATGGCAAGAATGTTACAGTGGTGCCAATCTGTTACCAGAAATTATTCCTGTCCCAACTCTCCTGATATTCCAACCATCCCAAGTCTCCCCTATATATGTTTTCGCAATAGATATGTATTTAAATCTGGAGCACATAATCTATATTTATACATTATACCAATTATATTATATTTATACATTATACCAATATTTGCAACTGATATATCTATATTAGTAATAAACACGATACGATA